GGTTGGCCGTCCCGGGCCAAGGGGGGCTGCGGGAAGCGGCGCGGGCCGAGGGATGTGCTGGTCGCTGCTTCCCACAGCCCCCATTGGCCTGGGACGGCAAACCACAGCCTGTGGGAACCGTGATCGGCCAAACCTGCGGACGCGGCAGGTAAACAAACCAACCCGGCCCCCCAGGGGGCTTACCCTGGCGAGCCGCGTGCCAAAGGTTGCCGATCCCTGTTTTAGACCATCCCTGAGCAGTTTGTCTGGTTCCAAGTTTTTCCTGCCAAATTTGAGAGTTTAAAATCTTATCCTTTGCTGTGTGAAGGACCTACATTTATACAAAAGGAAACTAAGTTTACAGAGGAAAGTATGAAATTAACAATACCCATGCTGTCAGATTCACAAAGTATAATCTTTGTTATAGTTCTCTTAGGTTATGTACTTGCAACAGTAGTCAGTGAGAATAATTAACGTAACTTGTCTCTGCTTTGACAAAATTCAAGTCTCAAAAGCACCAACAGACAAATAATTAGTCCATTGTAAACAGTTTGTGCTGCATTTAATTAACAGATTTATATAGCAACAATACCCACATTTGGTTATCTAAAGAAGGGAATCTTTTATGTAGAACTTGAAAAACAACTGGTTTAACCCAAATACAGTGTTCTTTACTGTAAGTGTTTTGGGTTAACTGTGTCTTTGCTTTGTACAGCACAGATTAAACCCTCAGCCCTTAAATACTTTGTGGTGTCTAGATTTTGCTGTTTGTAAATGGTTCTTTGTAAACTCTTTCCAAGCTTAATCTATTCTTTGTTTTGTTGCCTAGCTTTTAAATTAGACCTGTTTCAGGACTGTGTAGTTTATTTAAAAGTAGTCTCGGTTGTTTTTTTCTGCAGTTACATACAGGTATGAAGTGAACATTTACTTTAGACAAGCTTACTCTTGTATAATGGTACATCACCGTTCCCAAGAAAATATTGTGATGAACCTTGATACATAAACTAAACTCTTCTGAGGAAGATACTCTAGGGCAGTGGTAATTATCACTAGCAGATGGAATTTGAAAGGTCTGCTACATTAGAGGAAAACTTTTTTCGTTTTAATTAGTCTATTAAATGTTTCTTTACCTGATGGTTTTCTTCCAAAGGGATCACCCAGGACATCTACTCCATTTGGTACAGCGCATGGCAGAGGGAAAAGAGTGTCTAATGATGTGGAAAACTATTACAGACCTTCAATGCTTGAGGACCCATGGGCTGGCCTAGAGCCAGTTTCTGTTACAGACATAAACCAACAATACAGCAGTGAGCAAACAACATATACTGGTAAAAAAGGGAGGTATTTCAGTTAACATTTCTAAAAGCCAAATAACTCCATCTGTCAGGAAAACTTTGGGACAAAATCTTTAAACCTACACAAAATGAACAGTAATCAAGACCCTAGCTAATGCTTTTATTTGAACAAATGTCCACCCTTTTATCTGACTTCTTTTTACTGCATTGGATATTTTTATGTATCGGGGAGGGGAAAGTAGTGGTGGATAATATACATTTCTGGCTACATGGAAGTGCCTACCAGCTTTGAAGAACAAAGTGTTCTTTAATCACCAGCGATTGATTTGTGTCTGTTAAAACAGGTTTCCATTTATTTACCTCTTCCATGCCAGATTGTTACCCTAACTTTTATTGTTAACTCCTTTAGGAAGTGGTATTTTTTTATGTTTCAACGTTTTTAAAATGAAGTGTGGAAATACAAAAAACAAAAACCTTTGTAAATCCTTGGTTTGTAATGTAAAAAAATTATTTTAGGACTTTTTTGTTAAGGTGTACTTGGCAAAGAAGTAATTAGTTATATTCTGTAAATATAATGCTTATATTCTGTGGTTAAATTTTGATTTTGTGCACAATTTTTTTGTTAATTCTAGTGTAAAATAAGTGAAACATGAGTTTTAGCCATCTCAGGAAACCAATGTATTGTATTTGAAAAGTTTAATTTGTTAAACCAGCTCTTGAATGATAAACGTCTGTAATCATGTTTGGGTTGTGTTTTTTTTGTTTTTTTTTTGTTTTGTTTTGTTTTTTGGTTTTTGTTTGTTTGTTTTTGGTTGCATTTTAAAGGATTCATATTTGAAAACAAAATAGAAATTTATGGATTATAGCAAACAAATTTGTCTTCTGGCAAGTAAAGATTAACCTGCACATAAACATTAGATAATTAAAGAATACAAAGATGTCGTCTTGCTCTAATTTTTAGAATAGTGTAGATCTGGTGATGAATCAAACTCCGTTTGTATGATTAGATAATTGAGTTCAGTACATACCATAACATTTCACTCTTAAATTGTCCATTAACATTTATAACTCTCTTCTGACTTGGATAGAGAAACTAGATTAACATATCTGCCTACAAGAGCCTTTTTACCATGTTTTTGTCTCCTGATGGGTAATGTGTCTAAGTTATATGAAAGCTTTGTTTAGGGCTTATCTACACTTGGAGTTATCCCTGATTAACGCCATGTGTGGATGCTCTTATTTCCAGAATAAATAGGAAATAAAATCATGTTTAAACAAGCCCTTTCTATGACTTGTTATGCTTGTAATAATGTCTAAAAACTGTCAAAATACCTGAGATGTTATGGTTGAAAATATCAGTATTTGTTTTTGACCTTTGTTATGCTGGATTTTAAATATAGATTATGGGTGAGAACTTACTAAAGTAAAGGAAGTCTGAGGTCAATTTTAAATTGTGATACTAAGTTTGGGTGCTTCATAACATTTCAGAAGAATGACCTTGGTAGTTGTAAGAATCACATACTCTAAGATTTTTGTGTGTGTGCACGCATTGCATCCATGGATGTCTGCTTAGGACACTACTCAATACACCTTGCTAAGTTGTAGCTCTCAAATATCGGAGTTTTACTTGAATGAGGAATGTGAAATAGCCCTTAAATGTTTGCAGAATTCTTCCATACTGTCTGCTTGATGTCAAGAATATTTAAACCCTCAGTCCAGAATCAAAATTGGTTCTTGGTTAACCAGCTATTTGTAATGTATCATTAGACTGTCCTTGTTTTTATCCACCGTGCATACCAGCAGTACTGAGATGACTTAAGAATAAACCATGGAAAGTTTTATAGAACTAAAAACAGTGAAATGTACCCATCATGAAACATGAAATATTAAGCTTTGCTTTTTTTATCTGACGGGGGCTGTAAAGCTCAAACAAAAAGCAATGAGATGCTTTACTGAGTCAACTTTCTTTTACTGTTCCATATATAATTCAGTGCAGTTTCTTTTTAATAACATGTTTTATGCTCTTGAGAAACAGATTTGGTGATATCTGATACTCTTCAGAGACTCAAATTATAAATGTTCCCAGTTACAGATATGAGAAGAAACTGGGTTTGGGAAGGGAAAGGGTTCATAACAGAAGACACTGTAAGAGGTGGGACTACTTTACAATAGCCCAACATCAGCTGCCATTGTACTGCGTAAAGATGCATTTCTTTCACTTTGGCTTTACAGTTCACCCCAGCTACCTCTGGATTTGGGTCTCAGACTTCAGAGAAGGTAGATACTTTTCCAGAAAAAGAAATTTTCAGGAAAATATCTTGAAGTATTGTTAAACTAATACAGGCCTTCAACAATGCCATCTATTATGCTGCTGCTCCTGTGCATGTCAGGATTTGGACCTATATTTATGATAAAGTACATCAAACTGCCAGACTCAAATAATTCAGCCAAGAATTGGCAAGGAATATAAATGTAAACAATCTTTTGCTAAACTCCTCAAACTCCACCAAGCACTTACAATGTGAATAGTTTGGTCTTCTTACTCTACAATAAACTGATCAGTGTTTCAAAATGTCATTATTAAATAGCTGTGACTAAAATGCATGAATTCTTGTTCATAACTGTAAATACAATGTACTTAAAGCCAATTTTCAGCTTTGACTTATTTTCTATAGCTTGAAAACACTTGTTTCACCACCGATTTTGCCATTTTTCCATGTGGCAAACATTCCTTCTTTACCTGCTTCTAATGGGGCTGGAATACAGGACTTCCTTATTTGTTTATGAAGCTTATGCATGATATCAGAATGGCTCTGAGAATACTAGTTGATAGACAATGCACCCGGGCTTCCCCTCTTTGTGAGCGCTGTAAAAATGGTGCCTGTGTTTTGTTGAGGAGTGGACTCTTCCTTTAAGGAAAAAATGAGGATATGGGGAAGGTTTGTTCCCTAGCAGACTTCAGACATTTTAAGGTAAGTTATGTTTAGGTCTGTTTTTATTTAGGTTGGATTGATAAATTATTTATCTACCCTACTGTGTTTGCCTTCAGTCCTTTGTTCATGGAGCTTTTCTGTTAACTCAGTTTTTCAAGTTTTGCATAACTCCAGAGTAGTGCAATTACTTTTGACAAGCTCTGAAGCAAATATCTAATCTGACACATTAGTATTCACTATTTTAACTCATTAAATTTAAATTGTTATTGCTCTCACTAGCATATGGTACAGATCAGTATTCCATCTAATTTTTCCCCACCCATGTGCGGAATGAATTTTGTTATGTGCACCAATATGGAGATGATGTGTGGCATGTCGCATTCATATTGGTGCACATAACCAAATTCATGTGGTGGGGTTGGGGTCGAAGGGTTCTGTGGGAGGGGACTCAGGGCTGGAACAAAGGGTTGGGGTGCAAGGGATGCAGGCTCTGGGGTGGGGCTGGAGATATGGGGTTTGGGGTGCAGGGGGGTGCTCTGGGGCTATGGTGGGAAGCGAGGACTCCCCCAGTGCTCTCTCTCCACAGCAGCACCTGGGCTGGGGGGAGAGGCACCTGTCCCCGCCCCAGGAGCACTGCGCGGCACTAAATAGGCTGCCTCACGGCTGTGCAGCTTACAGGGAATTTAGGTACAGATCCCCAGCTGGTTTAAATTATCGCTTCCATTGAATGGAATTATGACAATTTACACCAATTGAAGATCTGACCCAAAGGGTGTATGTTACTTAGCTATTGTGAAAGTAATTCAGGTTTTGATTTTATGTGAATAATTAGTTTATTTTAGAATATTCTTCACTTGTCATTATTTTGGGTTACATTTTATTAATAAACTTGTTAAAGTAGCACCCAAAATGTTAAGCAATTTTCAGTGTTGAATTCATTTCATGTTCATTGTGAGATCATCAGAAAGTGGCTATTTAATGTACTCTTCTCTTTGTCAAAGTTGTTGTTTAACCATGAGTGAGTAATGAAATATATTAACTATGCCAGTGGTGGGCAACCTGCGGCTGACGTGCTGGCCGCCGCTTTCCGCAACTCCCATTGGCCAGGAACGGCGAACCGTGGCCACTGGGAGCTGCAAGGAGCCCTACAAATGCAAACAAACCGTCTAGCGGCCTGCCAGTAAATTACCCTGATGGGTCTGATCCTATTTTTTCTTTTATTAAAAGGATATCCTGTAGAAGGAAATGAGACAGAATCTACAAAACTTCTTGTCAGTTACAATTTTTGAGGACACTTAAACACTCAGAACATGGCTAACTGAAGTTGTTTTTCCCCCAATAATAATGTTAAGACCTTGATTCTGAAAAGGCATCTGTGTGGTTAACTTCTTTACATATGTGAATAGACTCATTGACCTCCAAAGGGATTACTTATATGAGTAAACCTTAAGCATGTGTGTAATTCCCTGGGATCTAGGTTTGGAAGTTGTGCCACTCACCTGTGTTCAAACACTATTAGCTAGCTGGCTTTTTCTCTTATTTTTCCAGCAAATAAAATTTAATAGTAATAGTAACAGTTGTTCTGGATTCAAATACAAAACATTTAAAAGATCATGAATTAGATAGGGCTGCCTAGAATCAAATTAAACTGACTTCTTATCTTTCTCCAAATGTATATTTAAGTGAGTCCTGTTCTTCTTTCTCCTAACTCCAGCAGTTCCCTTTCATGCTGTCTTTGGGGGTGGAGGGGTCCACTGTATTATAAAGACTCATTTGTTGTATTTTATGCCCATTTGTTTTTGTTTAGATACAATTCTCACAAACTCAGCTACTTTATTTAAGGTAGGCCAGTTGAGTTTGTTTTCTTACAACATGGACCACTAAGGCAAGGAAATCTTAAACTATAGCAAGATTCATGCCCAAAATCATTCTCCAATCCGCTCCAGAATAAAAATCAACTACACGAACTTTCTTTCAATTTAACAATATTCTTTCCTTCAGTGTACGTAAAATTGCCTGACCTTAATTTTTGCATGTAATTTTTGTTATGAATATACATTTCACTAATATTTGTGTTTTTTAAAAAAATGTAAATGTGGAAGCAAAAGTCCAAGGGTTGGAAATGGGGTTGGGGCATCTTGATGCACAATTAACTATATTAAGCAAAATATCATATCTTGACCATATATTGTTATATTAACATTGTGGGCAAGAGAACGTGAACAGCAGTTAGACTTCTCCACCAGAAGTGTACAGTTTGGGGGGTTATTGGGAGGGGGGGGGTAAGGAATGGGCAGGAAGGTGGTGGTTAAAGCAGTGAATTGTTTCCCTAGTCCTAACTAACTCCACTCCTGAAATCCTTGGCCAATTTTCTTCCCCTTCAATAGATCCTAGGCAGGTGACTCCTGCATTGCCTGTCAGTGTTCATGCAATCTATAAGCACAAGTTTTATACTGATATAAATTGTTCTTGGTAATCTGTGAAACTTTTGCACACATCCAGATTTATTCTGTTACAGTTCAGGGGTGAAATTTTCAAAATAACACGCATTGGCCTAATTCTGCTCCTAATAAAGCCAATAGAAATTTTACTGTATACTTTAATGGGAGCAGAATTAGGCTGATACAAGTGCTTTTGACAATCCTATCCTTGAAATTGAATACTAACTTTTTGGGGAGGGAGGAGATAAGAATACAGGGATCACTAGCCAAAGGGCTTTCCACAAGGCTTGTAAGGGAGCCAGGAGAGCAGCTCATTTCCTAAAACACCACGGAGGCATGGAGTTCTCCTGCAGACTTCCCACAGTCTG